ACCATGGTAATACCTAGGGATTTACTCATTTAAAAGGACTTTCTTTGGTAATGCTATATGTTTTCCATATTTATCATGCTAAAGCCATGTTTTTTTAATCATATGAATACTGTTTTGTATATTTACAAGGTAATTGCATTATATTGCTTGAAAACATTCTGCAATGCCTTATGTAATTACACTACTGATTGTTTTGAAAGTTATTTTAAAACTGTCATGGAAATATTTAACATACTTTTCATAATTTAGTATTTAATATGCATGTCCAGATCTAGTGGTTATACTGTAAATATCTTTAATAAGAAGTTATACCTAATGCTAATTTATAATAATTATATATTGGCAGTTATTTTACAACATTAATTAGTACAATTAATAACTGATATTTCGGATCACGATGTCAGCATAATTAAATAGATTAAATAGTGCATTTATCTGATGTTTATTTTGACCTTATGGACCCTATTTGATGGCATAACATGAAAAGTTAAACCTAGTAAAACTGGTCCAGTCACATTTTTCACCATTAATGAAACTGTTTCATTCGTATATCTTATCTTATTTTAAAAGTGAAGCAACTGATGTAGAAATCATTGATTTTGGTATCTATAAAAAGATCCATCTCTTGAGCTTGGACTCTGTTGAATTTCTGCATGTACCACGGGACAGCGTTTAATGATAATATAAAAAAAAAGGTTGGCTTGTATCATAGGAAAGCCATTGTGTTTTTGTTTACTCACTATATTTTTGGACATTTATGTTATGTTTTATGGGAATTTTATGTTTTGTTTTATTTTTTTTTATTTTTTTTTAAATATGCTATGGTGGTGGTAACATGAATACGATAATTATTCAGAACCATGTTTTACCATGTGATATATGTACAACTACTGCATTTTTTGTTGGAAAATGTTCTGTATGCATTAACACGCTCTTGATTTCTGCAGGTAACGGTCCGAGATGCTCTCAACCAGGCCATGGATGAGGAGCTGGAGAGGGATGAGCGGGTTTTCCTTCTCGGAGAGGAAGTCGCACAGTATGACGGCGCATATAAGGTGAAATAAGATGAAAATATCAATAGCGCCAAAGAATCGGATCACAAGTGGACGACGCAACATGCAGGTGTAAACGGGGTAGGAATTGTTTTGAGCTTGTCCACTTTCAACCACTTTTCGTAGTGTAAACGCTCATGTGGTCGAATGTGTTTGAACAGCCACAAAGACTCACTCTGCCTACTGACCTAATGCATAAACATCATGGGAAACATGCTTGCAGACAGGATTTAAACTTTCTCAGCTGAAGACCCAAGTTTGGTTTGATGATGAAAAATGTACCAAGCACAATGTTCTCTCGCCATTCCTGATTTCTAACACGCACTCACAGTGTTGGGTTGGTCTTGCGGCTAGAATCGAAAGCTGCTTTCTCCGATCGCGTTCATATGTAAATAACATCAACTTATTTAATCATTTAGTTGGAAAGATTTGAAAAACCCATACATTTACCCGCTCATAGACGCTCCCCTGACTGAAGTGGTTGAAAGTGGACAAAAGAGACGGATTAAACACCAGGTGTAAACGGGAATGTGTCTTCCTCGTCTACTTGTGATCCGATCGACCAGAACGCATCTTAATGCCAGGTGTAAACAGGGCCTTAAACTGACTTATATCGCAGGTTAGCAGAGGCCTTTGGAAGAAGTATGGAGACAAACGCATCATTGACACGCCCATTACAGAGGTGAGAAAGATGACCTTCTTGTGCGAAAATCGTGTGTTTCTTAATTATTGTTTAATGAATCTTCCTCCTTTATCCATGCAGATGGGTTTTGCTGGCATCGCCGTTGGTGCTGCCATGGTGAGTCTTTCCTGACATGACGATGATAAATGAATCTAAAAGCCTCGTTCCCAAACTAACCAACCACATCCTCTTCCAGGCGGGTTTGAGGCCAATTTGCGAGTTCATGACCTTCAACTTCTCCATGCAAGCCATCGACCAGGTCATCAACTCGGCTGCTAAGACCTACTACATGTCTGCTGGCTTTCAGTCCGTCCCGATCGTGTTCCGCGGACCCAACGGCGCTTCGGCTGGCGTGGCGGCTCAGCATTCCCAGTGCTTCGCTGCCTGGTACGGACACTGTCCCGGACTGAAGGTGGTTAGTCCCTGGAGCGCTGAAGACGCCAAGGGCCTTCTGAAATCAGCCATCCGAGACGACAACCCTGGTGAGTTCCTCGCATGATGAGACTGATGTTTGGGATGCACAGTAGATGTCGCTCTGACTGGCACATCGTGTCTCTTTCAGTGGTGTTTTTGGAGAACGAGCTGATGTACGGCGTGGCGTTTGACATGTCCGAAGAATCTCAGTCGAAAGACTTTCTCATCCCTATTGGAAAAGCAAAGATTGAAAGACCAGGTGGGTTTGATATGAAAGAAAAACACACACACACACAAGATGAGGAAGTATATCACATATACTCTTTCATAACTAAAGTGGACCAAAAGAGAAATATGTAATACATTTGTCAGCATTTTAATATTTACTGATAGTTTAATAATATTTTTATATCTAGTTTAATATAATAAAATAAAATATTATTGAATAATATTGTTATTATTATGTAACTACCCTGTCACAACTAAAGTTGACCAAAAGAGAAATAATTCATTAATGTGTCAATATTTTAATATTTACTGAACCAATTAATGACACATTTATGAATTATTTCTCTCTTTTTTTCACTTTAGTTGTGATAGGGTAGTAACTATCTATATTTTTAATAATAATAACAATAAGTTCATATTATATTATTTGATTGTATGATATTGTTTCAGTCAATATTTAAATATGATTATAAAATAAAATATTGAATCATAATAGCAATACATTTATATTAATATTATTAAAAAAATATTTAATTTTTATAATATTAAACATTTTCAGTGAATATTAAAATAATGTTTTGGTCCACTTCATATTATAATAATAATAATTACAACAACATTTATATTATCATTAAATATAAATTAATGACCATGTCATATAAGAAATATTTAAATTGTTGAATAATATTAATGTATAATTCCTATTTTAATTTTCTTGCTCTAATATTTCTAATAGTATTTATCTTTTTCTATAAGTGCCTCTGTTAATCGCTCTTATTTGAACAACAATCAATCACAACTTTCGAGTTATTGGTCTTAGTTGATGTGTATATTAATATTGGTGGTGTTCTGTAGGAAATCACATCACTGTGGTGTCCCATTCCCGGATGGTCACCCTGTGTCTCGACGCTGCCGCTGTCCTGGCCAAGGAGGGTATCGAATGTGAGGTATGACATCATCCTTTCAGCCTGGAATGGTTTGAAACACCATTTCCTCACATTTGATTGATTCAATATACACAGTTTTTAAGGAAAAGTGATTCAAAACACATTTGATTAGTGAATCAGCAATGTTTGTTTTTTGGGCAGTCATGTAAATTGTAATGAAAGAAATTATACAAAAATCATCATCAAATTTTAATTTGCTCACATTTAGCATTATTTTCTATAAGCTTATTGAATAGTAGTTTGAAGAGTCTATGTTTTCATCTGTAGGTGATCAACATGCGCACCATCCGGCCTCTCGACACAGAAACCATTGAAAATAGCATTATGAAAACCAATCATCTCGTCACCGTGGAGGGCGGCTGGCCTCAGTTTGGAGTCGGGGCGGAGGTTCTTGCCCGGATAATGGAGGGTAAATATAACGTTAATGCTCATTTGAAGTCAGATGCTATGTTCAAAATGAAATACTAGCGCACTGCTTTCTGTATTTTGCTCAGAATGTACTGTATACTGTTTTTTATTTATTTTACAATGCAATAAAAATGTTGTGCTATATTGTTGTCACATGACCTCACGATGTTGCATGATTGTAGATACATGTAACTACATTAACTCCATAATATGTTCTTTCAAAACTAGTCGGGAGTATGTCATTCCAAACAGCACGTAGATTTATTATATATATATTTTTTTAATTCAAGGTCCTGCCTTCAATTTCCTCGACGCCCCTGCGTTCCGAGTCACGGGTGTAGATATTCCAATGCCGTACGCCAAGATTTTGGAGGACAACAGCATACCGCAAATCAAGGACATCATCTTCTCCATCAAAAAGACTTTGAACGTTTAACATATCTCCATTTCAGGACACATTAAATATTAAATACATGTTCTCCCCCATTTCTGCATCAATGTTTGAGGAATAGGACGTCTTTTTCATCCTTCTGTTACATGGCTCTTCCCTCATTGGCGCTTTATTAAAATTATTTTCTCATTTCGACTCTATAATGAGGTTGTGTCATAACAGTGAGGTTTATTATGGCTATGAACCAACCATGTTTATTATGCTGTAAATTCTACTGTAAGCTAAAATAAACCTTTATCACAATGGGTTGTAAGAATGATTGTGTAGGCCTCATAAACAAATAAAGGGTAAGAATTGTAGATAAAGTTTTGGGTTCATTTCTTTGGAATGTTTAAATAATAAAGATGTAGGATTTACCATATAAAATAAAAATGAATTACAGCGAAAAAAGAAACGCATGAATATTGAGTACTAGTACATTACACTTTGCAGGACCATATTGAACTTGAATGAAGTGTTTTGGATGATGGTGGTAAGAGAGAAAGGGTGGGCGGGGCTTCGGTCGTGGGTGTGTCATATCCGCTAATCCCACATTAATGTCCCCGTCCTGTTCTCTGTGACTCCACACATAAACATTACAGTTATTTTACTCGAGCAGAACGAGTCGCTTTTGAACATAAGGCTTTCAAAATGCTCCTGTATTTTGGAGAAGTCACGAAAAACCACACAGGAAAGCAAAGTAACGTTATTATTGTTTAAACCTAAACCCCTTGTCCTCCATATTCCTGATGCTTGGGACGAAAGGAAACAACTGAAGTACATCGGACGAGGAGACTTAAATCCTACAATTATACGTATTTCCAACGAGGTAATATGATAACTGAGCATTTGCATTCGTATAATGAGATCGATTGCAGATTGTTTATTTTGGCTTGTATCATTTATTACGTTTTTATTGCTGCCGCTATAAATTAAGTGCGTGCTGCATCATATTTCGTTAATATTGATAGGTCGCGTGATTTCGTGTGACGTTATTTCTGAGACTTTGCTACAATTTGTGGTGGGATGCAGGGAAGCCCTCGGTGTCCTTCATATGCTGCGTCATTTATTTGACGATACGTTTCCATGGTGATAATCGATATTGCACTTGAATATGCTGTCTAAACTGAAATATAAAAACTATGTCTTAATTTTAGTGAAGTGTTTATACCTCATAAAGACTGCAGAGAGCGTCATTCGTCACCAGCACTGAAGAGGAACAGTTGGCCACATGGAGAATGGAGACTGGGCACACATGGTAAATATAAACGTATAGAATGACGCAGTGGTTCACCGCTCCCATGTAAAAAGAGCCCACTCCCATTTTATTATTCTGTAAGCATTTTCAGTTCATATTTTCATGTTCCCTGTTTGAGCGTTAATATATGGTTGGGATTGCTATGCAGTTCTTTTGCATTGTTGCAAGGGTGTTGGTGGAGATGCCAACGTTGAGAACTAATATAAACAATAACCATATATATAAAAAAAAAAAAAAAAAATATGATGCTCTGCAATGCAGTTGCAAGACTCATTGCTATGGTGTTCCAGCAGGTTGCTAAGCTGTTATGTTTAGTGATGGACACTTTTAAAACACTAAAGCTTTCGAACCTGTGTTTCGGAGTGCGTATCAAACTGCCAAATCCGTGTGATTTCAGTAAGAAAAAAAGGGAGAGTTGTTTTTAAAAGTCTCTCATTGGTCTATTATCCAATTTGTTTATAAAAGTAATTTTTATGCTTGTTTAAACTGAGTTTTCGCTGTATTTACACTGTTCTGACCAGTAGGGGTCACCAGCGTGTGGCGTTTTGAGCACTTCGAAACAGTGAATCATTTTACAAAGCAATTGGTTCAATTGATTCAAAGTTTTGAAAATTTTTGTTTCTACTAATCACTTGCTAGTGTGTTCGGGGTAATTGCTAGGCAGTTACTAAACGGATACTGAGCATTACTAAACGTATGCTTACCGCCCTAAGAACAAGCTTTGAGGGTCGGCCATTTTGTCTTATCCCTGTGGTCCATTTTGTCTGAGACTGAGGTTTATGAAGAACAGGGTTGAAAACATCTCATGTGTTTTTTACCATATTACTAGTGTGAAATTACTCCGTTCACCATACTATAGTTACCATAGAAACCATTGTTCCTAAGGGTTTTGTCAATGCAGCTCAATACAGCAAATGTTGTTTTCAAGCCTTATAGGTCAACTTGCTTTTCAAGAAAAAACAAGCTGGGTGAAGTTTTGCTGGGGACCAGCATGGTTTTGATGGTCCACCAACTAGAACAGAACCAAATCAATGGATCTGTATGGCCGTTTAAGTTTTGCAGATAAACAACAAGAGTTTGATGGTCCACCAACAAGAGCATCACCAAATCAATGGCTATGCATGGCCATTCATCTTGGACTAAACTTTTGTGTTCAGCAGGGAATGGTTGAGTCTTTGTCGTATCAGTACAAGTACCATCTTGACATTCCCAGAAGGTACAAAATGCATCTTTAATGCTTCGAACATCTACTATTTATGTTCTTCTTTGTTGTAGATGATGGATACGGTTACCCTAAATGTTGGTGGCCATTTGTACACCACATCGCTGTCTACCCTCCAGCGTTATCCAGACTCAATGTTGGGCGCCATGTTCCGAGGCGATTTTCCCACCACACGAGACGCCCAGGGCAACTATTTCATAGATCGAGACGGTCCACTATTCCGTTACGTCTTGAACTTTTTACGAACCTCAAAATTGACCCTACCATGTGACTTCAAAGAAACAGAGCTCCTCCGGAAGGAAGCAGACTTCTACCAGATAGAGCCCTTGATCCAGTGTTTAGGTGACACTAAACCTCTCTACCCGATGGACACCTTTGAGCAAGTGGTAGAACTGTCAAGCACTCGTAAGCTCTCCAAGTACTCGAACCCGGTGGCAGTCATCATCACCCAACTCACCATCACCACCAAAGTTCACGCACTGCTTGAAGGCATCTCCAACAGCTTCACCAGATGGAATAAACATATGATGGACACCAGAGACTTTCAAGTGTCCTTTACCTTTGGACCATGTGACTACCACCAAGAGGTGTCCCTTCGTGTGCATCTGGTGGAGTACATATCCAAGCAAGGCTTTACTATTCGCAACACACGAGTTCATCACATGAGTGAACGCGCCAATGAGAACACAGTAGAACATCATTGGACTTTCTGTAGAGTTGCGCACAAGGTTGAGGACTGATTGATAACATTACTGTAACTCTGAGATAGCCAATTGAGCAATCACATGTTTGACGAAGACATGGACATTTTTAATACTAGTTGCGGCTCAAAATTAAGGCAATTCCGAAATTACTTGAACACAACACATCTGCACTGCAGTTCTTGGTTGAGATAACCAACAATAAACACAATGAAAATGTTTTCTGTAGTACGCAATTCAGGCGAACTAGTCCTATTGTGTTTTATGCGTCTTCCCACCCACCTTCAGAAGTTAATGGACAATAGGAACCTGAACAATTTGCGTTTTTCGTTTCTACAAGTACAGTATGCCGTGTTTAGGGTAAATTCCTTCCTAAACTGCCATGTCTCCAAATCTATTTATACAACTCTTAAATGTAAAATTTGAACATATTGCATCAGTGTTAAATATACAGTATTCAATATTTCCACAGATGTTTTGTCCTGTGATTGAGTCTTTAAATTGTAAATGGTTTGCATGATTCTGTGGTATCTACACTATTAGTACTTAGACATATTTCCTCCCTTGAGATACAGAAAAAAAATTTGTACTTGCATGTCCTCCCTCTCAATAACTCTTATGGCCAGCTTCTGGACCAGGCCAAATTTTGGGGTCCCAACGTCCCATTTAACAATTAATTTTAGTATCAAAATGCATGCAAGGCTAGCATCACTGAAGGTGAAAGCATCTTTTAAATGGTTTGAAAACCCAGTTTAAATTGAACGAGTTCATTCATGTGTGTAATAAACTGGACCTGCGCATTAAAAACAGTAGTTTCATCATACATTGTGTGTTTCTGTTTGGTAGTATTCTCATTGAAAGAACATTTTGTTTTTATTAGTGAAATTTTATTTATCATTTTAATGTAATGTAAGTGAATTTTAGTGCCACTCTTTCAAATGCAATAACTGGATTATGTCTGATTTTGAAATATTAGATTTTGCTGTTTTTGGGGGGGTTGATAGGAGTGGCTTGTTTTACCTTCTTTTATGTTAAGATTGACAAAAGTATTTTACAAGGTGTTGATCTTATATGTCTATCACTCATTTTTTAGTAAATAGGTTATTTATTTTAAAGTATATTAGTCACAATCCTAAATTTTTAAAAATGTTTCTTTGTGAATTTTGCATTTAAATCTACAGTGTGTATTTCTGTGCCACTAGTGGTGCCAAATGTAATAGCAGTCTGTTTGAGCGGTGTTACATAGCAACACTGACTCAACCAATGATGCATGTTCAATGAAAGGCAAACTTGTTTAAAACAGGTGTGTTCGACTTGAAGTGGCGTTGTGCTGACCGATCGGTGTGTCACAAAAGTACAGCGAGAGCAAATTGAAAGCATACAGACAGAGCCATCTGCTGTCTAATCACACTTGAGCATATTGAAACTTATCAACAGTATCAGTAGTTAAAGGGATCGTTCACCCAAAAATGAAAACTCTGTCGTCATTTACTCACCCTCAAGTTTCTTTATTCTGTTGAGTACAAAAGATGACATTTTGAATAATGTTGGTAGTAACATTAGCCATTGACTTTCATAGTATGTTTTTCCAATGAAAGCCAATGTCAACTGTGATAAACTACATCAATATTGCCAAAGGTATTCAGGTGTTGGTTTGGAAAGTGAGAAATGCATCAGGAAAACGTTAAAGACTAACTGTCTGCTTTATGCAAATGAGTTCCACAAGGGGAAAGAAGGGTGGGACGCACTATGTGTGTCCCCTCTGATGCCAGCAGCCAATCACAGCACTGGAATGGAGAAGGACCAAATTGCAATCTCCTCATCGGAAAGGGATAAAGGTACCCTTTTAAGGGTAAGACAACACACGACCCAGTTGCGAAAGCAAGTTAACAGTTTTTTTTGCAAAAAGAAGGGGAAATAAGCAAGGCAGGGTGGTCAGATGTAGTCATGCAGGAATAGCAGCATGGGAAACTGCAATGGGCTGAATGATGTCTGGCGATCAATGAAGTCAGTGAGTAACAGCAAGGCAGCCAGTAATCCAGACTCAAGCAGGAAGGAAACACACATGAACAGAAGCTTTGAAAGAATACTGACGGAACAGAACGGCAAGACGTGAGCACAAGAAATGATCAGACAGCCAACACTGACAATAATGAGCTGCAGGTGCGGCTGGTCTGATTAGCTCTCCAGCCCAGTTGGTAGCTAGGCAACGCTGACGAGCAATCAGACAAGTGACTGGAACACAACAGAGACATGTCAGAATGAACACACAGACCCGGGAACTGTGACACAGACAGTCCTTATTCCAAGAGTCTCTGGCCACGTTTACACAAAGCTGGGTATTTAGAGAAACGAATACCCTCCCCCATAATAAAATCCCGCATAAATACGCTGTCACGTGCCATCATAACTATGCCAAACCTATGGGTGGCAGTGTATGTAGAAGGATAAAGCCATGCAAGCCAATCAGAATCCACAGACTAGACAAGAGAGAACCTAAAACTCCATTTCTCCCAGTTGACACGACAACACGCCAGAAATCTTTGGCCGGAATTTTTAGAAATGATCGTTTTCTGTGATAAAAACAGGGTTTTCGTGTAAATGAAAGGCCAAATCGCAGGGGATTATCAGCATTTTCCCTTCGTGTAAACGGGGCCTCGGGACTTCGAAGGTGAGACAGAAAGAAATCAACTAAGTTCTGACTGAGACAACAGATCACTAGCGGCGCCAGGATTTTGATTGTAGGTGGACCTCCAGAAAACTGGATGGGCCAGTAAAAATAGCCACAAACAAAAACCCAGGTTCCCCTTCATCTCTGTTTCAGCGCTTTTCTGAAAGACAAACAGACACTTGCCATAAACACATAAACAGCCTCAAACCCGTTCTTCAGAGAGTCTATGGGTGACGTCACAGACGCTTTGTCCATATTTTTTACAGTCTATGTAAGAAATGGTGAGAGATGGTGGGTGATGACAATTTTCATTTTTGAGTGAACTATCCCAATAAATGATGTTGACTATAACCACTAAACAAGCTGGTAACTGGCTCATAAGATCTAGCCTATACTATGGCCTCTTGCAATATGGCGCGAATATGGCGGAAAGTCCCGCCTTCCTAGTAAAAGAGCCAGTATCAAATTGATAAAGTCACTGCAGCTGCCATTTCACGAGTTCACACTTGTATTTACTTTCTAATATGCTCTTGCCTAAACCAATATTTTTTAACCAATACATTTCAGAGTGTGACAGGTGTACAGTTCAGCAATTTGGTCCTTAAGCAGTTCATCTCATTGACAAATGTATAATTGTGGAAAAACTGATAAAAATAGTTATAAAAATGATTTTAGACAATTCATGAGTGGCATAAGTTATTCAATTTTAAAATAACAGCTGTATTGGAAATTCGGAATGCATTTGAATGCATTTGAATTCAGGAATTACATTCATTGCAAGTCGGAAAATAAAATAAAATAGGGCCTATTAACAATTTGTCTTGTAATCGAAGTTTGTCTTTAAACTAGACAAAATTAGATTAAACATATGTCTAACTTGCTGTCCGGGGGCAGGGCTCCGAGCTCGCAATTCGGCACAAACCCAGAGTCCTCCCAACCCCCGTATGTAAATAGTTAGGACTAGAAGAGTGGAGAAGGGGTGGTGGGGGGATGCTGCAAAACTGTCAATGGATTGAGGTGAGACTACTGAATCTATATACACTTCTATCATTGATTGCTGAGTGCTCTCCACCCGTGTTAATTATCTGAACGTGCTCCTTTAAACGTTATTGTAAACGTTATTAACTTAGTTAATGAAACGTCATTAAAATATCCTGTTGCTATAGAAACGGTCTGTTTTCTGAGACATCTGTGCTTGGTGAACAGTTTTGGAGAATTTGATGTTTCCCCAATCAAAGTGATAGGAGCTGCACTTGCATGACTATTTCAAAGATGGCCACAGAGTGAAATGGCTTCCCTTAAAGGGACTTAAATCTGCAGTGGTCAGGTAGTACAACGGCCACGTGGTACAAGTCGTAGCTCTCACCTAATTTCGAGTTTACATGTTGTAATTACAAGCCAGCTATAATTCACCTGTGCTTCCTGTATGCCCTCCCAACCTCCCTCGTCAGACCTTAGCCAGTTTCTCTTTCCAGTCGCTACTGTCTCCCATCAGCTCCTCCTCTACCATTCCTATGTTGTGTGGATCCACCTTGGGCCAGCCGCTTAAGCCTAGTTCACACTACGTGATTTTAAAACGTCGGGCTGAACTGTGCGGTTCACACTACATGACTTGCTCTCAGTGAAATCAGGAGTGTTCAAGTTGTTTAGCTGTTCACACCACACAACACAACGTGATTGATCCACAACAGGAGGTAACTCACTACACGAGTTGACAACACACTACATAGAGATATAACCACGATCAGATGATAAGAGCAAATCATTGTTGACTCTAATGAGAGCTGTTTCAGTACTATGGTACGGTCTGAATCATGAAAATAATCAAATAAATAACGAGTTGATAACAACTCTGTCACCCAACGATTCTATCTTGTCTACAAACCACGTTTTGTCATGGAAAACCAGAAATGACGCGAAACAGCACGTGCGAAGAGAACACAACACGTGAATACGGACGTCAGACAGAAACTTGTGCTGCACACTGCGCAACGTTCTGCTCTGAGAAAAAAATGCAAATAAAAAATAAAAACTAAGATTTACCTGGTGTCCTCAACCCATGCGTTGCTATGATTGGCTGTACTCATGACATCACTGAGTTTGAGTCGCGCAATGGCTCTGGATATCTAGCAGGCTAGATGTTTTTCTGGGCTCGGCGACGCATCTGCGAGGCGTCTGTGAGCGTTTTCGCTGCGTTGTTGGCTCTTTCATACTAACAGATTGGCAAGCGTTCATTGTCCGCTAATCCCTCGCGATTTGCACGCGATAACACCCTGACCTGTCGGCGAGCTCAACAATTTGCTAAACGGGCATAAATCGGGCTTAAAATCCTGTAGTGTGAACTTGGCTTTAACAGCACCATTGGATGTTTGGATCCCTCTGGCCTCACCTTTTCCAATCACTCCACCTCTGCCGGTTATCTAGACTCCACCGCCTTGGCTCCTCCCTCGCTCGGCTCCACCTGGTACCATCAGCCATACGGCTCCACCGGTCTCCCTCGACTCTCGCGCTCCATCTTGGTTGGGCATCGCCTCGTTTGGGTCCAGGACTCGGACTATGGTTCCTCCCTCCCTCGACTCTGCCATGGGTCATCATTTCTTTCCTTCCTTCCTTCCCTCCTTCCCTTCCTTCCTTCTTCCCTCCCATATTCCCTCCCTCCCTCCCTCCATCCCTCACTCCCTCCCTCCCTCCCTCCTTCCCTCACTCCCTCCCTCCCTCACTCCCTCACTCCCTCACTCCCTCCCTCACTCCCTCACTCCCTCCCTCCCTCACTCCTTCACTCCCTCCCTCCCTCCCTCCCTCCTTCCTTCCCTCACTCCCTCCCTCCCTCACTCCCTCCCTCCTTCACTCCCTCCCTCCCTCCCTCCCTCCCTCACTCCTTCACTCCCTCCCTCACTCCCTCCCTCCCTCCCTCACTCCTTCACTCCCTCACTTCCTCACTCACTCACTCACTCATTGCACAAGGATGTGCCTTCCACTGTTAACTCATACTATAAATGGACAAGTATGACAACACGTAATACGCATGTACATGCCGTAACTATTTTAACATCGCTTTCAAAACTCTTTTTTTTTTTTAAATTTGCGCTTTGAAACCTATTTCAAAGTTTGCGTTCTCAGGCCACCAAACCACCACTGTTGTGTAAATGACTGTCTAGAACACAAAAAAGTTTACAGTTTTCAGTTGAAAAGGGTGTTAAGTATATCGCCCCTAAATGATTAACTAATGATTTTTTTTTTTTACAGTGGAAATGAATCAATGCTTAACTTACTTAAACTGGACAATGACTTTGCTCTGCTATACAACCAAAATAATCTTTTTGCATTAATTTCCTATTATCACTGCAAAGCTGCTTTGAAATAATTTGTATTGTAAAAAGCGCTATATAAATGAAGGTGACTTGAATTGACTTGTCTTTCTCAATTGCCTGTGACCTAGTTTCTTTGTGTGTTTGATTAGTCAATGTTCACCTGTCATCTCATTAATTATCTCATTGTTCCCTTTGTTTGTCCCATGCATTTAAACTTTGAGTTCACCTTCATTCTCTGTCCATTCTTGTCAGTGTTATGTTGTGTTTGTTGTTACTGTTGTGGTACTAGTGTACTATTGTACTGGTGGTCATCCTTTGTCTTTTTGCTGTTTATACAACCAACCGATTACATTTTACAGTTAAGAATCATATCACCAGAGAGCATTATTTGTCATATTTTACACATAGGTCTCAAAAAATGTTTGCGAAAAGGTTTCATCCATGTTTTCTTGGAGGTTTGTGAGCCACCATGCTAACATGACGTCATACAGTCACATCTCTGTTATTTCGGAGTAGATTCAAAAAAGGTTATTTGTTCTGTTCGAAGTATGAAGCTGTAAATTCTGACATTCCCATCATTATTGTATGTTCTTCAGGCCCATTTTTGTGAGAAGGTTCCTGCTCACCCATCCCCCACTGCTAAACTAAAATCCTAAAGGACTGTTTGTGATTTTTTTTAAAAAATATTTAAATCAGTGGTCCGTTGACAGTTTTCCTTATGTATTATTTACATACCTTCACAACAACATGGACTTTTTCTTTTTCACTTAATTTTTAACATTAGTTAGCTATTTTCCATTTTGGGGGATGGGCTCCTGCTGCACCCATCCCCCACAGCTTAACTAAAAACATCTAGGACTTTATTGATAGTATGTTTAATGTTAAATAAATCAAAGGTCCGTAGTAATTTTTTTCATATATTTTATACATATTCCTTACCATTGTCCATAACAACATAATATTTTTCTTTTGCACTTATAAACAATTTTTTAACCATAGCTAGCTATTTTCGCGATTGGCTCCGCCCCTTCTTCCAGTCAGCCACTCCGAAACTCTCACCCTCAGAAGCTCTGAGAGCCATTTTTGTTTCATGGCAGAGAGCACGGCAGCTCTCATTTCAATGCTCTCAGAAGGGACTCGGTAAAAGGTAAGACTCCTTATTTAAAAATCATCTATTTATTCGGAGAAGGAAGCGTGGTGTTACAACAGTATGACGTTTACTTCAAGCAGCTAGGTTTGCCATAAAGACTCCGTATATGGCATATGCTCAACTACATTTTAGCTAGGATTTTTTCGTATTAGTTTTTCACAAGTAGACACCCAAAGTGGCGCTGAAAAACGTCTGTTGTGTTTGAGACGCTTTTATTCAGCATGATTGCAAGGTAATATTAAACCGGTAAGTATTAGACGAATGTTTATCTCCCTTTTTCGTCAGATGAAGGTTCCTCTATTGTGTGTTGCATCGCCATTTGAAATGTTATTGAATGTAATTCTGAATTATTGACGTTTACTGCTACAAACCCCGTGTTTCGCTGTATCATTTCGCCTCTTATATATCATTCGATCTGTTTTAACGCTTAGGCTGCTAAGGAAGATAAATATAGCGAGTAAAGACCGGATCTATATTTTCGAATGCGCTTGGTTACGTCAAACCTAGTGAAGTATCGCAGTTTAGGGGCGCTGTGCGATCTAGCTACTAGAAAGATGTGTCTGTAATGTATCCATGCATGTGTTGTGAATTTAAATACAGATATAGATGTAAACTATAGATCTAATCACAAATAAGTCATAAAAGAAAAGGTATAATCTATTTTCCAGTTAAACTGTGTAAATTGCTATAATTTTGGGACCTGTTGCGATTTAGGCAAATTCATTTTATATTTAAATAACATATATTTGGTAAAACTACAGATTTACTGTTTTTTTCAGCATAACATATGTTGCGAAGACATTTGTTAAAGAGTGCAGTATAGCATTGTTATAATTGTTCTGAATAAACATCTGAGCATTTTAAAAGCGGATTCGCGTTCCATAAAATTGACGATTTTACGGAAACGTTTTAAGGTCTTTTAAGACCATTCACACAAAGTGCATTCTTTAATGTTATCTTTCTGTGAAATTGTCACACTGTAAGCAGTCGCTAGTGGGACATTTTTGACTGTTGCGAAGCATCTTGGACCATGAGCAATGTTAAGCCTTGTATAACGTAAACGTTACTTTATTTTTCACGCTCTGCTCCGTCTTTCAAGAACACAAATGTGCCATTGTACGCGCACCATCTGTGTGGACACAAACATTGGGTTGCGCGTAGACTGTGTACACGGATGTTCTCAGACCCAACTGATGAGGAAATTACATCACGTGGACCGCTGCAGAAGTCGGACAGCCGAAATATACTTTGGGCTTTAAGCAGCATGGTAAACCAATGTCAGTTTAAATTAGAGCCCGACCGATAAAGGATTTTGAAGGCCGATGCCGATACAAATATTTTTGGGTTTTAAAATCCGATATTCCGATATATCGGCCGATATTTTATTTATTTACTTGAAACTGGACATGATAGTCACAAATTTTGTCATGCTTATTTGAGTTAAGAGAACTGATGGGGATGTTCTTTTAATTGTTATTCAAGCAATGTATGTCTCGTGACCAACTCAACGAGTGTTGCCCTCTGGTGGACAAACTATACAACTCCAACACTCATGACATGGTTGAAGCGTGTTTCGTCCGTTTTATTTTATTTTTGAAATATTCATTTATCGGCCATTATAACTGCCGATACCGATAGTTTGGAAAATGCCTAATATCGCCCGATAATACCGGTCTGCCGATATATCGGTCTGGCTCTAGTTTAAATTAAAATAAAGGACTGCATATTAGGAATGTGTGCAACGTCCAATTTCATTAGCGGTTAACAGAAATTTTGCAACCGACTAGTCTAACCCCGTATGCAATCCATTTGAAATGGATTACTTAACCTATGAGCAGTCAAATTCCACGCTGAATGCCGATTGAAAAATCCTCAAGCATCCTTGTGTATGATTTTCTTCTTTCGTCCAAACACAATCGGAGTTATATTTAATAATATCCTAGCTCAGGTTAGAGGTCACTCTTCCACAGGAACGACTTTTACCAGAAGCCAGTGATTATAGCGCTTTCAGGGAACAATATCCCAGTATGCATCGCAACGACATTGGCCAAAGAGTGTGTAGCATAGTTTTTTCAAAAATATCACTTTTTCGATATCTGAAATGTTTTTTCTGCAGTATCGATACACAGATACCAGCTGCGTGTTCTCACTCTTTTCTCTCCGACGACGATGCACACCCACTCTTCTCCCTCACTTATCTCATTCACTCTGGTTGAATAATGCTTGTTGCGCATATTTTTAGTCATTCCTGCAGGTTTGGCACACCCACCAAAAGCGTGTGCACCACTGATCTAATTAGCACTCTCAAACAGCACGGGAGTACCAAACTGAATTATTCTTCGTGGCTTATTACGATTTAAATTGTCAAAATGCCCATCGTTTTGGAATATAGTTGAGAGAAAATACATGTTGTGTAACAGTATATTGGATCATGCCTTAAATAGGGATGGCGAAAACTAAAAATTTTCTTGACCGAGCCTCATTAGCCGGTTGAAACCGGTTAACCGATTGGTTTAAAATATGCTACGCTATTTGAAATAACAGCCATTTTGAGCCATGCCTGCAATTTCACAACTCTGTCGCATCTCTCTGCCGCTCTGCCTCCCACACACACACAGACACACTGTCCCTGCGCTGCCCTTCCACTCATGTCAATTTTTTAAAATACCCATACAGCGCGAAACATAAGTCCCGCAAACGCGGCGCCTCAGATTGTATGTAATCTGAGGACAAATGGCTCCTTTTTAGTTCCAAAATGGTTTGGGTACTGGTGATCGCGTTGAAAATAAAGGTGTTAAGGCCTGTTCACACCGGGACGAATTTCGTGTGTGTTATTCGCCGACGGTTAACGCCTCGTGACTAAACAAAGGGCGGCAATGTGAGTGTGCACACGACGCATAAAACGCCACGCGTAAAAGCTTCATTTTTTTTTTAAACGCCTCGGGTTCGTTTTTTCTTTAGTTTGACGCTTTTGCTCACGTGTTTGGAGCTTCTGAAATTACAGTAAAACACAACTTGGGGGCGCTCAAACACAAACCGGTCTTGCCGAGCACGTATATGCAACGGCGAAAAAGATCTACGCCAAGTAGTGTCGCCGTCTACACAGCCAGATAAGATGAATGTAGAGCTGCTGTTCTCGTTGGTGCTAGAACATAAAGAACTATATGACAAACGTAAGAGGGACTACAAACATCTTGATAAAAGAAAACTGATATGGAGTGGTATTCCAGAGCAAATTGGCGCCATCTTATGTCAGGGAATGAATTTACATGTTCACTCGTCTCATCGTCAGCGAAAGTCGCTTGGGTGTGAACACAAAAAACGTGTTGGAAAAACACAATAATGCGCACTGATATTCGTCCCGGTGTGTACGGGCCTTTAGTCTTACGTTAGAAGCTCATTTGAAACATTGCCGTGGGTCATTCAAGAAAATGACAGCTCCAAAGAGACGCCGCTTTAGTTTGAGGTAACGTTAACGTTCGTGCTGACAATAATAAAGAAAGATGATGATCATTACCTTATCTGTTACCACTGAAATGTAGATGTAATGTATTTTCAAATCTAAGCCCAGCAATATCTGTGTCATTCTTTTAGGTGAAATGGTCCCATACACTATTTTTTTTGCACGCTTCATCCTGTCGTCTGCCCTTTTCGCAAATCTTGTGAGCACGCAAACCCAAACGCTGTGACCTCGCACCAAATTATTATTATTTTTTACCGTCTACAGACAACTTTTATTGGTTAACATTGATACGGTGTCAACCATCGGTCAAACGGTCATCGGTTAACATCCCTAGCCTTAAACTGACAACAGCTTAACAGTCCTAATGTCATCTGACATCTTAAACAAAGAAGAAAAGACAAAGAGAAAATCGCTCACTGCTCTTGTTTGAATAACTTTTGTAACTTTAATTGTAAGCATTAATCTGTTTTTAATTTTTACAGTGAAAACTATCCAGTTATTCTACACTTGAAAACTTTCACTTCTGTAGTATTTCTTATCTTTATACTACTGTAACCAAGACCTAACTTTAAGCTACGTTTGTTTCATTTGTGCTATTATTTGCAATTTGTTCTTATTTTATTAATTTTGTCTCTTTTTTGTAAATGTAGGCTAGTTCAACGATTCATTTAAAGCCTTGCTGTGCTGTGTGCAAGCTAAACAAAATTACCCAAATGATCCAAAAATATCGAAATAACAAATCTGTATGGCGGTATGGCAGTTTACCCCGTATTATCAAATGTTAGTGAGTATAGATATTTTTCAAAGTATCGTATCAAAGTTGAAAATTCCTAGTGTAGCATTCTGTTTCACATATTGTGTATTGGGGATGTGGCGGTGAGGATATTTTCCGGTGAGGGTATCACCGACAGGGTCATTTAAATAGCTAATTTAATGGCAAATGTAAAATGCGCACATTTACACGGGCAGAACAGCACAAATCACGTAACTGAAAACTATGAAAGCCGTGTGACCGGCCAACCGGTAAAAAAAAAAATACATTAATGAAATGATTCTCTCTGATTTTCTGTTTCATTAATAAAAGTTTGAGTACTCGCAGCAGTCTTGCATGCGCTTTGAGCTTGTGTGAATTGTACGTAAAAATGAAGTTAACGAGCAACCTCAATCCATCAGGAAAAGCCATGGTCGCTGAATTTCACTGTGCTTCATGAAGAGTTTTTCTTTTGCGTGAGGAAGCCGTTCGCCGGAGATGTGTTAAGGATAGTGGAGTGCATTCATGATTATTATGCTGCCGGTATAACAATCCTCCTGGCGCCGGGTCTGAGTGAGTAACTTACTCTCCTTATCGTTCTTTGATTAACATTTAATGACACTTTAAGACCAGACGCTGCTGACAGCGAAGCGATCTGACACGCGTCTCATTTTCTCACAAATTTCTATGTTCATTTAAGACTTTATTTAAATCATTTAAGACTGGTCTTATGAGGACACTCGACAAATCCGACATTAATTTGTGTGTGTTACAGTTTGTTCA